ATTTTATTTTGAAGAATTCAATGCCTTTTAAGACTTTTTAAGGACCCGCGGGAACCCTGTACTACCACAGATGATCTCGCTCTCAAAATGGAATTGAACGATTCGGATTAGCTCGCCAAATGAATAGAAGGACTAGAGTGTAGCCGCCTGTGGCCTGGGCTTCCTGTTACGATTCCAGCACGCGGATGACGCCATACATGCGCCGCTTTGTTTTTAAAATGTATTAATATAAAAAATATAACCGCGGATGTCTGGCGGACAGCGATTCGCCTTCATGTTATGAATGCTGGCGTACCATAAAGAATAAATTATGAACAGTTTAGTTTGTGCCTTTAAGTCGATGCCCATAAGAAGACGTTACTTGGATAAAACCTAACGGAATATCTGCAGAACGGCGCCAAATGACACAAACCTCATATGGGTGAGTAGAACAGGATGTAATAACGTAAAATCAAGGCCCAAGGTAAAAAAAAAAAAAATATTCCCCTTTAACTAAACATAGATTTATAATTGAAAAGAAATGTAAGAGGTTATAATGCATCATCTCATCAACTGGTATTTTAACTCCATCAGAGCCTAAACTTAGCTTCATCACAATTGTGGAGAGATTGACACCAGAATCTGCTTTGTCCATTTCTTCTGCCTGCAGGTCGTGTTGACAGACTGTCGTCTAATGCTTCATCTGCTCTAATAAATCCCACGCAAACTGCTTTAGATTGGAATCCTAAGCTGAAATGTTGACTCTGTGCCTGATCCCACTCCAATAAGGTGCTGAGTTTTCAGCAGAGGTTCGACTATAAATGGATGAAAACAGGAGCAGCTTCTATAAATAGATTTCTGCTGACATCAGGAGGAGCAGAAACAACGGCTTCGTACTCGGTGACAATATTGATGGTTATATGATGCATATGTTTATGGAAACTCCCTCCATCCAGGCTAAAGCTGAGCTTTTTTTATTATTCTACTAAACTAATAGACCAAACTTCTCTTTTATCTTACAGCTAAATCCTGGACAGGCACCAATCATGGTTCTGGGTCATGTTTAAACATGAGTCCCTCTTCCTTCTCTGCTTCATGCCTAATGTCTTAATTCATTAAGCAAACATTCTGCTTAAAGATTACAGATTTAATCATTATTTTAAATGGATTTGTCTGAAGTTTGACTATCCATGAAGTTCTGAGCTTAACTGAGTTTTTTTTTTTTTTTTTTTTTGGATCAGGATTCAACATCTTATTCATGTTTTAGGTTTACAGTCTGAGATGTAGTCAGATTCAACATCTTTTTTCATCAGTCCTGATCAAGAAGAGACTCTATTGGCTGCTGGAGCTCCCAGCATGATAAGAAACCAAAAGGAGCAAGTAGATGAAGCTGCAGAAGTTTGCTCTGAATGGGATCAACAGGAAAATATCCACATCTGTTAGTAGAGAGCAGCTGAGCAGTGAAGGGAACTCAGAGATGCTCATATTTTCAAATGTGTGGCTCTGAATTCAATGACTGATCAGGAGGAGCTCCTTCTTCTGTTGGAGATTTAAAGAAATGTTCTGGTCTCCATAGATCCCTTCATTTTAAACTAAACATTAACAAGTTGAATTCTCGTTATTTTTAAGGCTTCTCTTGTTTTTGTGTACCTTTGTGAGGGCGGCAACCCTCTGCGCCAACTCAGCTTCCACCTCAGGCAGAGTCTCTGCTTTGCGGATGGTCTGCTGCAGCTTCTGCTCGGCCAGCTCCAGCTTCTCCTGCAGCTGCCGGTTTCTCTCCTCGGACTGAGAGAGGAATGAAGTCATTAGCAAACATAATGGCCACTGGTCTGTCTGTGTGATGCTACAGGCTCAGCAGTCGACTCCGCGGAGTGAAAGGAATGAAAAGAAAAGGGCTGACAGGCAGACGGAGACAAAAGGAGACGGGATGCAGAGATGGGTGGGCAGGAAGGGAAGAACAGAGCATTCACAGCGACACAAAAACAGACAAAAAGCAGAAGAAAAGAGGAGAAAGACGTCTCCTCTCACAGTGACTGCGTGAACACAAACCAACCACTGTTTTCATTCAGTCCTGAAGCGCTGGGAAGTCAAAGGGTGCAGACATCTGAAGGAAGCTTCCATCCAACAAACCCAATGGATTTTATCCAAAGCCAGACCTACCTGTCTGTAGAGGGACTCCTTGTTGGCCACCTCGTTCTCCAGTTTGTCGTTCAGGTCATGGACGGACGTGGCCTCCCGCTGAGCGGCCAGGTAGCGTTTCTCCAGAGTGGTAATCCTCTCCTCCATATCGTCCTTCTGAGCCATCGACTATGGGGACAAACGGCAGCGTCAGGGACCCGCACACAGGCGGCAGGCACGGTTCTGTTCTGATCCGTCGCTCTCACCTCTCTGAGGTCCCGCTGCAGCCTGGTGTTCATCTCCTCGGACTTGATCAGGTCCTTTCTGGCCGTGTCCAGGTCCTCCTCCAGCTCACTGATGCGTGACACCATGGCAGCCATGCGTTCCTTCATTTGGCCCAGATCAGCCGTCTGACGGTCCACTACCTCCTGGAGCTCCCCCACCTTTCCAAACCCGGTTCCGGACTCTTCTTCCTGACTCAGTGAACCATCCGAGGAGCGCTGTGGGATCAGCAACAAGTCAACCAATCATCTATCTTCTCCATCCATGGATCATCTGAAAAACCAATCAAATCCTTTGACCAGCAGGCCTCCTCACCTTGCCGTTGGTGCTGGGGGGGGTTTCAGACGTGTGGTTGACCTCGCTGGTTCCATCTGCCAGGCCTCTCTTCTGGCTGCTCTGCTCCCTGAGGTAAGACAGCTGTGGGAAACACCAAGAGCAGCTGAGTGCCGACGGCTCTTTGGGCAGTACCGGCCTGTTTGGGTTCAAAGGGTCTGATTCTGCTAAAAGCTTTCAGGAACCAGTCAGACATCTCCTTATGGCGCATATTGGGCGGAAACACTGGGTGCAACTTTCCATTAGTAACGGACCTTCATGCTTCACCTGCAATCAACTGGTTTTCCTTAGATAGAAAACTTTGTATCGATTTGACTGTATGATCTGGTTGAACTGTAAAGTGCCTTGAGATGACATGTGTTGTGAATTTGGCGCTATATAAATAAACTGAATTGAATTGAATTGAAACCTGAACTCTTCATGAAATGCTGATGCTGCTGGTTTTCCAGGTTTAAAACGCTTTGAGGACCCCTGCTCCTCTTACTGGATTCTGTTCAGTTCAGGGATCCAGAGGAAACCAGTTGATGACCCAGTTCACTCCTGCCAAAAGCTGGGAAGAGGCTACTAAAGAGGTTCTTTCATCTAAATCAGGCCCAATGTTGCAATTTGAATCATGTCTGTCAGAGTAATCCTCATGAATTCTGCTCTCTGAGCTGCAGCGCCTCCCTATTCTGGAACACGAGCGGCCATCTTTGTTCTACGTAGAGTAGGAATCTAGCTTAATGTTAATGAAAAAACTCTGCTTCTATCATTGGTTTTCACATCAACTGATCCTTTGTTGTTCTGCTACTTGACTCTCAGTCTGGAGATGTTCTAAAGCTCAGGGAGAAAAGTTCTGTGTCAAAAACGAAGCATTTGGTTTGGTGTCGCCGTCAGGCTGATCATTCGCTGGAGAATTTTAATCTCAACAGTTTTTTTTTAAATATCTCCCTACTAATGAATAAAAAATGGATCCCAAACCGTACTTCCCTTTCCAAACCAAATGGAGGCTTTGGTTTTAACAGAACAATCCGAGCTGGACTGGGTCTGTGTGAGTGTGTCAATATCTGAGGTCCTCTGGGCTTTTCACTCAACATCTGGACCTTCCTGTGTTTTACTGCTAACCTGCAGAAACACTCAACTTCTTATTTTACCTAAACCGTTCCATTCAGGACTAAAACCTGAATATTTGAACTAAGTTAAACCCCCAGAAATGCATCAAACATCTTAAAACTTTAACCTTCTTCCTATGGAAGTTCTTCAGGATGTGTTTCTTACTTCTTTGTGAGAGATGGCGAGCTGCTCCTCCAATGCACTGCATCGCTCCAAAGCAACGCGGAGTCTTTCTCTCACCTGTTTAAAAAAACAAATGAACCCTGTGTGACTCCATTCTTAATTCTTCTTTTATTTCCAACACTCCAAACATTATTTTTTACCTTCTCATCGAGGGCTTTGTGGTGTTCAAAAAGTGACTTAAGCGCTTTCAGGACCTCCACCTCACTGGAGACGCCTGCAGGAGACTGAGCCTGCCTCTTCACCACAGTCATCCTCAGACTGCGCTCGTGACGAGACACCAGGCACTCCAAGTGCTCCAACAGCAGCTGGACACAGATCAGAGCATTAACAAGTCAGCGTTTGCATCTTCTACTGGGAACCACATGTGCATCAACAGAGCAGTTAGATGCTGTCAGATGTGTTGTGTGTAGTGGAAAATTTTTGATGACTAAGCAGCTTTCCACATGGAGGGCTTTGGACAATGCTTTGGATTAGAAGACAGAGGCTGACGGTGAACCGCTGTTATGACAACCAGCTCCAGTCAAAACAGAAAGAGGCAGGAATTAGCCAGGTATGTCTACACGCTGCTCACCCGGGTGTTGTTCCTCTCTGCCTTCAGCTCTGCGATCTCCTCCTCCTTCTCCAGAAGCTGCTCTCGGTAGATGTTCACTTCCTTCGTCAGAGCAGCAAACTCCTACAAAACGGAGCAAAGCGCTGAGTGAAGGTCTGAAGAAAGCATCATTATTAGCTTTAAAAAACCTAAAACTTCAACAAAGCAGAACCTTTAACTGAAGCACAGTGCAGACAGGTGGGGTTTTATGTTTAATAACTGGATTTTCAGTTATTTTATTACAATAAAACTTGTCCAACTCACAGCGTCTCTGGTATAAATTTATGAATAATTAGCTCCCCCCGTGTGGTTTCAGTGATTGCTTCCACAGTAAACCGCCGTGCATTATTGGACATTCCTGCGTCTTCATGAGGGGGCTGACAGTCATGCTTACATGATGAGCTCTGGAGCGTCAGACAACAAGCACTCCAAAAGATAAGTTATCTCATACAGGGTTCCTACAGCATAAGGCAAGTTAAATTCAAGACTTTTTAATGCCACTTGAAATAAAAATTTAAGACCAAATTCACAAGAAACAAAAGAAAAACCTGCTTGCGACAACTTAACCCAAAGGTTTATTTTAACATAAACCACTGCATTAATGTTTCAAATTTTGAAAAGCTTCCCATACAGGAAGAAAGCTAAAAACACACAAATGACAGATATATTTGAACAATTATTTAACTGAATTCACAAACTTTGTTTTAGCAGGGAACAAAACAAATCAGTTTTAAAGCCACAACATAACCAGTGCTAAGTCTTTTTTGCAGCTATTTTTCTTTGTATGGTTTTCTTAGTATGTTTGATTTGGTGATAAGTGGAGGCGTTGCAGAGACAAGGGTGGAACTAAACTGAGAAATACCGGCTGTTTCTCTGTAACTCCATTTTGACGCTTTGTGCTTCGCATGTGCGACTCCACTTCCTTAATTCCCATCGTTCTGAGCTTGAATGACTTCTTGCATAAATCCACCTGAGCCTCATGTATGTTCCCTGGTTTTAGCCATGGAGAAAACTCTTGGCTGGAGACAATTTTGGTTCCATTTACGCTTGCTCATATTTTCCAGACAAAAAGTTAATGGCGCATCTCCCAAATGTCCCGGCCGCAACAACGCTTTTATTGGTTCCGCTATCGGAACGGAACCAATAATGGCGAGCTGTTATTCTTTTTAATAATAATAATAAAAAAAAAAGTCAATTTTAATGTTTTATTTAGATTACAAAAATAAATTGTAATAAAAATTATCCTCTTTATGATGTTTTTAAAATTAAGACCTACGAAAGACTGATTTAAGACATTTTAATACCAATTAAGGCCTTAGTTTTATTTTGAAGAATTCAATGCCTTTTAAGACTTTTTAAGGACCCGTGGGAACCCTGTCATTTGTCTTCCAGACCATCTTCACACCTGCTATCATAGAGAACAGTGGAAGGAATACATCTAATTCAAGCTCACATGATTCCCCTCGTACACACGCTTTTAGAGATTCTATGCATGGATGGGCTGCTGATTTTCTTTGCCCTGTGGTGCAGACAGCGTTCCTGACAGTAGCAGGGGGTGGGGGTGATCATTTTCTTCCATTCTCCCTTTTCTCCCGTCCAGCTCTTCCAGCTATTGGCACAGAGGCTGGATCACTGAAGGAGGAGGGAAAGTGCTGCTATTGGTCAGAGCGACCGATATCCACCCTCTGCTGGCCAATGAGAGGCTTTGGATACGGAGGCCCGCGGCTAATTACAGAGCTGCTCACTTCCTACATTCCTGCAGAGGAAAAGTGAACTTCAGCTGTAGATTTTGCTTTTAAAAACCCTCCAGCTGCATGAGAAATCCTGATTCAGAGAATTAAAAAGGCCCCCGTCATCTTTACATGCAGTCCCAGAGCAAAGAAACAATATGAGCTGAACTGGATTAACAGAACAGAAAACATTCTGCTTTACAGACATAAACCTGTATATTTCACTGAATCTGTTAGTTTACTGCAGGTTTAAACAATCTGCACCGTTTCACTTTCAAAGGTAGGGAAATGGATTGAGAGAGATCCGCACTCAGCACTGCAGCTCTCTGTGGGAGGGAGATCCGAGCCTTGGCTGGGCGGACCTGATGGCAACGACAACAGGAAGGCAGGACAAAACGTCCTCCCTAAGTTGACAACAAGGTTATAAACCGAACCATCAGCAGACAGGAGGCTGACGCCAAATATACTCTTTACTTTAGTTCTGGGAAAGTTTCAAGGAAAACCTTCAGGATCAGCAGCAGAACAGCAACAACGACCCAAAGAAAAATGTGTCTCAGCTTAGAAACAGAACATTTTCCCACACTGCCTGATGGATGTAGAGGAGAAACATGCTGGTTAGGAGGAGCGAGCCGCTCCATAAGCCTTAGAAGGGAGGCGGAGATTAAAGGGAGGGGAGCTACATTTATATGAGTGCCAACCTGTTAAAGGAACAGAGCAACAGAGAGGAATGATCCTTTCCAGGGAAAACCGCCATGCAAACTGCAGCACATTGGAAACAAGGAAGTCTTTCCTACAATTAGGAATCTTGTGCAAAATGGAGAATATGTTGAGAACTGTAAAAATCGAAACGGACTTAGAACATTAATAAAATGTTAGGATCCCATCTTCATGTGAACAAAGCGAGAAGAATGCATAATGCAGATGACTGCATGCATGGTGAAACAGAGGCCTTTTGGCATCAATCTTTAATGAGGACTGATATCTGCCATCCTTTTAACCTCCAAATGCACAAACCAGTGGATCTAGTCTGTCTGTGTGAATAATCCAATCGACAGAATCTGTTTGGAGAGAAGATCAGAAGCAACAGGCTTCTTACCTGCTGCACGCAGACTTTAGCTGTTGTTAAGTTTGCAGCAAGAACTGAAATGTGACACTGAGCAGAACGCATCTGTTCCCCTTTCAGGAAGACCCGTCACCAAAAACTAATGAGGCTCTGCAGCAACTCCAACTCAGGGACAAGTTTCCATCTGAATGAAATGGATGTACAGAGAAGTTCAAACCCCATCGATACCTTCTTTCTCTGCAAATCTCACAATTCTAAACTTCCTCCATAAAACGGGCGAATCCAAATGAATCCCAGAGTTGACGTAAATTTGGGGATGTTGCCTCATTTGGTTCTGGCCTGTGCTTTTGTCACGAAACATCTGAACACGTTAACACGTGTATGATCGCCATTGTGGAAAACAACTCGTGAAGAGCGAGGTGCGCAAGAACACTGGAACCCTTTTTCCACCTGGATCCCCGCTCTTTTTCGCCCTCATGTCCCTCCGTTGTCGCACAAACTTGCCCCCACTTCCTCACCGCCTCGGCCGTATCTAGACCCACAGCTAGTTCCTGATTGTCCCTCTTGCATTGTGGCGTGGAATAACATAGCACAGACCACGCTTCAA